GTCCCCAGCCAACTCCTGCATTTAAAAAACTGCCTCTTTTTTTTTTTTTTTTTGCAATCTTTGAACATATGTAGGTTACTAACTACCCCAGTTTTGCAGAAGTATACTCAGGCCCATGGGAGGATCACTTATTGCTGTTAGATTGCTGGTTTGGTAGTAAGTGTCACTGATTTGAATGGGACTTATTCCTGAGTAAGTATGTCTAGGGTTGCACTGTAACTTGCCTAACATTTATGCAGGTATTTGGGCCCTGTAACTCCTTTTGCTAGTATGCAGTGATGGGGAGGAGCCATACAAGTATGGAAAGAGCCTCAAAGATAACCTGTTCACGCCATACTGTCAAGCATGAAAATCATATTCCTGTGTGCAACCTAATAGACTAAGATTGCATAACTTTCATAACTGTAATGTTTGCTACATACTCTCTTCAAGCAGCAGAAGGGGGTGGGTGGAGGGGTTCTGCAAAGAGGTCAGATGGTTCACTTTCCAGGACATAAATGGCTAGCACTTACATTCCAGTAAAAAAGGGGATAACAAGCCACTCCCAACTGTTGATGAATGTGAACAGAACCAAGACAATTATTCTCTGTAGCGAGTTAAGTATCCCCAATTTCTGTTGAATCAAAGTCTAACAGTATCAAATCTGCATATAAATTCAAATTCAGTGGGGAGAGACACAAGTAATTAGCCATTGTTACAGGTTTATGCAGACTATTCAGATTCATCAACAGGTGACAGTGAGTCCCACCCACTCTGAATGGATCTTGACTCACTTGACTAGATCTTATTTTCATCTGATCTGTGCAGAGAAATTTTAACACTATGACCTGGAAAAGGGAGTCTTCTGGCTCTGTAACAACTCTCCCACTCCCATCCCCTGGGCTCCTTTCCACTATTTGTGGCTTTATGCATGTTCATATAACAAATATTTTTAAAATTTTCTAGCTGGGTGTAATAGTTTATATATCTAACAAAATGTACTCTGGTTTACAAAAGTTTGTAATGGATGCATTCATCTTCAAGGTTCTACAAGAATTATTTGGGCTGAAGCAGGCTGCTGTTCCGAAGGCTTATGCCATACTATACATCGCCCAGAGCCCAGCAGAAGTCAAGATAGGGCAATCAAGAAGTCCAACAAATAATAATAATAATACTATGGTCTCCCATTTGAAATTTCTCTGTGCTGCTATTCAGATTTCCAGTTGTTCCCAGTTTCCTTAGCTTCAGTCTGTAGGTAGCAGCATGCATCATCAACTTTCGTGTCCAGAATTTCTGCATTATCTAAAGTGGTGCAATCAAACAGGAGGAGACATCTAACAAACAATGCAATAGGACTAGGGCCACAAAAATTAGAAACAATGCAGAAGTAGAACATGTCACAAACACTGCAAAAATGGAAGGTTGTAAAAAACAATGCAATAAAGAGTGACGACGCATACAATGAACAGTAGAATAGACTGCAATGCTTTTGTTTATAAGGTGTCCTCCATTTTTTAAAAAATTTGCTGTCAAGTCGCAGCTGACTTATAACAACCATGTAGGGTTCTCAAGGCAAGAGACATTCAGAGGTGGTTTGCCATTGCCTGCCTCCATGTCATGACCCTGGTATTCCTTGGTGGTCTCCCATCCAAATACTAGCCAGGGTCAATGCTGCTTAGCTTCTGAGATCTGACAAGAGCAAGCTATCCAGGTCGTATTACAGCCTTATTCTTGAATTTATTTCTATCCCACTTTTCTCCCCAGTGGGGACCCATCATTCTCCCCTCTTCCATTTTCTCTGTAAGTTAGAGGAGTATGAGAGAATGTGATTAGCCCAAGGTCACCCAGCAAGCTTCTGTGGTAGGGAGGGGGTTTGAACTCAGGTGATCCAGGATCCTATTTCTGTACTCTACCCATTATGCCAAGACAGCTCTCTCTTTCCTTTCTGGAATCCGATGTGTAAGAAATGTTTCTATCTTGGCTTACCTAATACAGTGCGATTTTGAGAAGTGTAATGCCATACAACTGACTGGAATTGCAAACTACTGAGTTAGTAGGCATTTTTTCCCTAATGGGACAGGAAGGAAACTGCCTCACCACAAGGAGGATATGATGTCTGGGAGCTTTGGGATTGCTCCATTCCCAGCACTTGTGAGTTCGACCTTACCATCTTTTAACTTATAACAGAAATCAGCTACCAGGAAAACTCATCAGGATCCCACTGGGCTAATAACCCTCCAGCTTTTACTGCAAAGAAATAAAATACTATAAATATGACATTCACCAAACTGCCCCCTGCCTTCACTTACAGCTGGGAAATCAACCAGGCCTCACCAAAATCCTCCCTCTTCCCAATTCCAATAACCTTTATTGGCATCAAAATTCCTTCTTTTTATGCAAGGCCAATTGATATTTGGAGTTGCCCCCCAGAGCTTGATTAGTTTTTAAATCTTCAGCAGACAGCCAGACCTTCATGTTCATCATCTTATGGCTTTGTCTCCACTGGAAAATAAGGCTAGCAGTGGAGAGGACTGCTAGAACATAACATAAGAGAAACCAATGTTGAATCGGGCCAATGGCCCCATCCAATCCAACACACTGTCACACAGTGGCCAAAAATACCAGGTGCCATCAGGAGGTCCATCAGTGGGGCCAGGACACTAGAAGCCCTCCCACTGTCCGTCCCCCCCAAGCACCAAGAATACAGAGCATCACTTGCCCCAGACAGAGTTTCTATCTACTTTGTAGCTAATAACCACTGATGGACCTCTGCTCCATATGTTTATCAAATTCCATGTGTTAATCACTCTGGGTGGAGAAGTACTTCCTTTTATCTATTCTAACCCGACTGCTCGGCAATTTCATTGAGAAAGGGAGAAAAGTACTTCTTTCCCTTCCTGCTCTATCCCATGCATAATCTTGTAAACCTCGATCATGTCACCCCTCATTCGTCGTTTCTCCAAGCTAAAGAACCCCAAGCGCTTTAACCTTTCTTCAAAGGGCAAGTGTTCCAATCCTTTTTTCATTCTAGTTGCTCTTTTCTGTACTTTTTCTAATGCTATAATATCCTTTTTGAGGTGTGATTTTTAAAGCCATTGAGCTGATGGGCTCCTGAATGCTACTGCGGGACTATGACAGGTGAGTGAATCATCACTGTTTCTAATTCCTGATTCTGAGTGAGGCAGTCTTGATTAACAAGGCAATGCTGCCAAGAATAGGGACAGGATGGTAATGTGCTGGTCCATTTCAAACCACTCTGTAGGCCTGAGCAGCCCCAAAGGTTTGGTCAGGTCATTAATATGTATTAATTAATTAATATGTATTATGTATTGACCATTGATTAATGTATACGGACCACCGTAATCTGCGGTGGCTCAAGTGGTTAAGACGCTGAACTGCAGGCTGTGGAAGGTCAGTAGTTCAGCAGTTCGAGACCCGGGTGCCACATGATGGAGTGAGCTCCCATCTCTAGTTCCAGCTCCTGCCAACCTAGCAGTTCGAAAGCAAGAAACTGCAAGTAGATAAATAGGTACCACTTCAGTGCGAAGGTAACAGCGTTCCGTGCGCCTTGGTGTTTACTCATGCTAGCCACATGACCACGGAAACGTCTTCGGACAGCGCTGGCTCTTCAGCTTTGAAACTGAGATGAGCACCGCAACCCTAGAGTCGGATTCGACTGGCTTTCGAGCAAGGGAACCTTTACCTTTTTTAATCTTCTAAAATAGTGAAGAAAACGGCTGGTTCTTACCTTCTAAGGCCCCTGCCTTCTTCCTGTACTGGCCAGACTGCCAGTTAACATCCTGGTCGCAAGCCTGCTTGCTCCCTGTACACACTTCTGTAGAGATGAATGTGTAGTGACCACACAGGGCTTTTTCAGTGGTCGCACCTAACATTTGTCTAGCACTCACTGTACCGTTGTTTAGGCACCAATGCCAAACTTTTAACTGAAGGTAGATTCAGGTGTTGTTAACTCTTTTATTATGCTAATTTGCTGCTGCCCACAGGCCTTACCAATTGTGTTAATCCAATCTTAGCTATAGTTATTGCTCAACTACTTATGCATCTTGACTCTAATTAGCAGTTCCTGGCAACTAAACCCCCCCCCCCCCCCACCCACCCCCCCCCCCCCCATATGCAATGCTTGAGGAAGTCTGGATCTGAAGAAGTGTACATCTACACATGCTTAGTCACTCAGTTCTCACTTAGAATTTAACTTTGTTGGTCTTAAAGGTGCCACTGGACTCAAATTTATTTCTCACATCTGTTTATTAACTCCTTTATTTGTATGCTAATCCCCTACTATTCACAGATTTTACCAACTGCTTTAATCCAATTTTAGCTATACTTATTGCCCAGTTACTTATGCGTCTTGACTCTTAACTAGTCCCTCCTGGCCACTAATCCCCCCACCCTCTCTCTACCTATATGTAAGGCTTGAGGAAGTCTGCTTCAATGTATCTGATGTAGTGTTGCCAATCTCCAGGTGGTGGCCGAAGAGCTTACACCTGATCTCTAGGCGACAGAGATCTGTTCACCTGGAGAAAATAACCACTTTGGAAGCTGAACCCTGTGGCATTATACCTCATTGAAGTCTTTCCCCCTTCCTTAACCCCACCCTCCTCAGGCTCCACCCTCAAAATCTCCAGGTATTTCCCAACCCAGACTTGGCAGCCCTAACCTTTCGGATTTGCTCCGTCCAGGACAGCACTTTAGGAGCAATTTTCCTCCTAGGTACGGTGTACAGCGATCCGGGCACTGCACCCTATAAATCCTGGATTCCCCTCCCCTTTTCACAGAATCTAAGTAATCGAGCCCCCCACACAGACATTCTTTTTCGAGAGGTCATGTTTGTTGGATCTAATCTTATTAACAGAAAATGCAATTACCTCCTCACAAATCCTTGGGAGTTTACCAGTCTCCGCCCACCTCGTCCGCCCACCTCATTGGTGGCCGCGGGACGCTGTGCCTCCAGAGGCGGTCCCAGGCGAGCCGGGGTCAGAGACTCCAGTGTCTTCCTGTCTTTCTCTACGTCCTCTTTTCGGTGGCGGCATGGCTGCCTTCATAGATCTGGAATGTAGCGAAGATAGTGTTAGACCTTCGATTTGCACCGGCATTTTCTTATTCGGTAAGTCTAAATGTGAGTGAGAGATTTCAGTATCTAGAAACAGGAAGCTTTAAAGTGGTGGTCTTGTTGGAAGGGAAGACGATCTACCACCCGTGACACCAGGTTTGGGGTTTTTGGGAGGCTGTGTGTGTAATAAATACTGCCCAGAAGGGGTGTTGATCTAGAATGGGGATTGCTTGGGCAGGGCTCTTTAAATAGCGATCCCGGCAGTGAGCGAGCCAGACCGGGAAGCACGTGGTAACTCGCTTTTTTCCAAACTAGCGTGGCTTAAGCCAGCAACGTTTCCACGTGGCTTGAAGCTATGGAAGCGGAAGCTGTTTTGCCAGAGGTTTGTTAGATCTGTCTCGGTGTGAAATCGAGTTTTTCCCTCAAATAAATAAATGGAAAAAGTGCTCTAATCCCAGTTCTGTAGTCCTACAGGCCGGTACGCCAGCGAAAGGACTACGGAGTTCAGCACATAGGAACTGTTTTTTAAAGAATGGACGGGCAGGATAAAGTTTCTTAATAATAAATAATAGGATTTTAATGCAAACGGGGTGGAAGGGTTCTTCGGAGTCATGTTGGAAGCATAATAACCAAATTATTATCTCTGGTAGTCAAAGTTTAAATTGTAACTACAAATCCCATGCTATTTATTGCTGTCTCTTTAGTAGGTATTATTGAGGTAGGTCAAGGCAATGTAAATAAGGAAAATAAGAAAGGAGTTGTGTGGAACCTTAAAACTTATTTTTAGTCAAAGACAATGAATTTTTTGGAACAGGAAGTTCGAATAATTGATAACGAAAAAACTTTCATTTAGCATGTTCACCAGTACTGATGGGTCTTGCTCGATTTAATATTGATATATTGCTATTTAACTGTGGAAATTAAAAATCCACCTACTATAAAGAGCACGGTTGATCCTTCTCTGCCTGGAATTCCAAGAGCCGTCCAGTTCAGGATTTCCATCTTTGTACAGGTGGAGTTGCGGGGGCTCAAGTGGTTAAGACGCTGAACTGCAGGCTGTGGAAGGTCAGTAGTTCAGCAGTTCAAGACCCGGGTGCTGCATGATGGAGTGAGCTCCCATCTCTAGTTCCAGCTCCTGCCAACCTAGCAGTTCGAAAGCAAGAAATTGCAAGTAGATAAATAGGGACCACTTCGGTGGGAAGGTAACAGCGTTCCGTGCGCTTTAGTGTTTAGTCATGCCGGCCACATGACCACGGAAACGTCTTCGGACTGCGCTGGCTCTTCGGCTTTGAAACTGAGATGAGCACCGCAACCCTAGAGTCGGATTCGAGCAAGGGAACCTTTACCTTTAAAGGTGAAGAGAGGAGGAGACTAAACTTCTCTGCCATCTAACCCAAAGCCCACATTTCAGCCATTAAGCATTCTTGTTTGCTGGGCTGTTTTGTTGTGGGATTTGGCATCTTCTTATTCGGTAAGTCTGATGCAGAACAACCTTCTTCAGTAGCAAAGGAACCCACATTCTTTATTGTTAGCTGCCTCAAGAATCAGTTATCTATATAGCAATAAGCCAGGAATAAATATTGAAACAATACGCATTTAAAACAATTAAGATTCCAATATGACAGCAGCAATAAATAGAAACTAATTAACCTTACAAGTAGAAGTCTTAAAACTTCAAAGGAAAGACAGCAGCAATGAATAAAACAGCAATTAACACCATAGCCGGAAAGAAAAACCCTGTAGAATCCCATCACATCATAACATCAGTATAACAAATTTTACAATAAATTTATCTAATACTGCCTTCATCCTGCCTTTATCTGACGCATGTTAAACTGGCTCCAAGCAAATTATGAGGAGGACATTCCAGTCAAGGCGTCATAATAGAAGGCCCTGTGTCTTACAGACACCCACTTTGCTTCAGAAGGTATAGGCCACAAATTTGACTTGCTTGAATCCCTTGTCAGTTGCAATGTTTGCTCTGTTGTTTTTTCTCCAGGATGTGAGTTGAGCAGCAGTTCCCGATCATACACTTTTAAAGTATCTGAAGAGGATGAATGTGATCATACCCTAGCTTTGAATATGGTAAGGCAGTAGGGCCGATCATTGGGTGTGTGAGGAACATGGGTGGTAAACCTCCTGTAGGTGTACCCGCCATGGTTCATACGTAGTGAGCTCTGACTCACAAAGTTTGTGCTGAAATAAATGTTGTTTTTCTTTAAGGGGCCTCTGGGAGCCTGTTTCATTTTAGCGTAGGGACCAATTTCTCTGATTGGTTTTAGTAGACCAGGCACTAGTAGACCACATGCCTGGACTATCAGGAGCAGTCCGTGACTTTTTCCTTAGGGGTAAAAACCGGGAGCTGACCAGTCCTCAGCTTGCAGGATCCCAGAAGCAGTACAGTGAGAGGTGATCCTAGTTAGCTGTCTAATGGGTTTTTATTTGGTTATGTCTGAGAAGAGTACAAGGAAATCTCTGCCCTTTACAGCTTGGTTGCTCCTCTAACTAGATCTTCCTGTGTTCTCTGTCTTTCTGCCTCCAAACACTGGTTCTGCGAGCTCATCTTTATTAGTTGGAAACTACCTTTTAGATGACTGATGCAGGATGGGCCTTTTTGATGCTTCTGTCTCCTTTATTTTAAAGGTTTGCCTGTCGGAAGGTGCCAAAGATGAATGCAACGTGGTGGAAGTTGTGGGTCGCAACTATCACAATGAAGAAATTGTTGTGCCAGTGGCCAATCTGAAGCTGTCGTGCCAACCCTGGGTAAAATGGTCTACTGAAAACTGGGGCTTAGGCCCTAGGAAAGAGATTATTAGTGGCTACAGGGTATTTGAGTTGATAGGGAAAGGGGAAAATGCCTGGGACTGCCCCTTGGATACTGTATAGACCTGTATAGTGCCTGATGGCATTTAAGAAATCCTACAAGGGGAGTTTGTTAAACTCTTGAGGTGCTGCATTCTATTCTGCAGTGTGTTCACTTTGGTCTGGTTAAGATGTCTGTCATCATATATGCCTGTCAATTATTTTCGGCTCAAAGCACACATTTCTTTAAGTCCTCAGTGCAAATGTATTGTTTCATTAAACATTTGTACAGCAACTTGGACAAAAGTGAGTGTGCTGTTCAGGACTGATGTGGAGCTGAATTTGTGGGCTAGGGATAAGGGATGTCATTCAGATGTGTATGCAAGGTTCTTGGTCTAGGCAAAGGACAGAAGAGGGTCATGAAAGACAATTGGAAACACGTTTGAGTCAGCGGAAGGGAGAATTAAGCCAGAGTTCTCCTGATCCACTTTGAGGCTCAGGAAACCCCCTCCCCATTAAATTTATATTTCCCCCTAACTTCTATTTCCCTTCATCTCTCCACAGTTAAGTTTGAATGATTTTCACCTTCAGCCTCCGGTGACCTTCCGCCTGTGCTCAGGATCTGGTCCTGTTCACCTTGCAGGACGACACCACATCTGTAAGGAAATCCAGGGAGCTATTATGTACAAAGGGGTGGGTGGGCTAGAAATGAAGAGGTGGGGAGTCGTGTGTGTCGCCTCTTAAGGACACATGTGGTAGAGGGTAGACCACCTTGTAACGATTAATAATAAATTGAAATTGAAAGATTATAACTGTTGTTAGATGAAGTGATACTGCATTCCTCAGCAATGGTTCTTTTCTTCTGGGACGTGTGCAAACACATTTCTCTCATCCTGCCAAGAAGTAAGGAGGAATACCACATATTATTTGGAAGAATGCTTGAATGCACCTTGTATTCTGATTGAGGAAGGGAGGTGTGGATTGAGGGGTGAATGCACTTCCCAAGCATAAGTAATTCAGTACTTGAGACAATTGCCTCCTTCCTTCCTTCCTTCCTCCACTCACCCAAAGGGTCTCGTGGTGACTTGCAGCATTAAAACAACATAAAAACAAATAACAAATATAAAATATTTAAATTTGTGGCTATCACCATGTCACTATTAAAACAGCCCAAATACATTATTACCCTGCAAAGGTCAACCTAAATAATTTAACTTTGCATGCCATGCAGAAACTAAACAAGTCCAACAGAGCACAGGTGTTCTCTTGCTCATGGGACGAGAGTGGCAGAGAAGGAGAGGCTGAAGCCATTTTCCAGGTCTGACGGGTGCTGTCAAATAACGGGATGCTCTTGGTCTCAGTTCATAGGCGGGAGCTCTTGGATGATGAATTGAGTGAAGAGGATGAGGATTTTAGTGAGGACGATGAGTTCAGTGATGAGGAAGAGCTCACCCCTGTCAAGCCAGCCAAGAAGAAGCAAAAGTCTTAGCTTGGCTCCCTCAAAGGTACGTGCTGGCAGAGAGGACTGTGCAGCTTTGAAGCCAGTGAATTCTTACCACAGCAAAGCACCATCTTGTCCTTGGACTATATGAATGGGCACCCTTGCTTTTCACGGCCCCGTGACCAAAGTTTCAGGGCAAGGCCCTTCCCGTCTCGCTTGAGGCTTCTGTAGTTCTGGTGTCCGTCCCCTTTTCTCGTCTCCTGCAGTCTGCAGAGCTTCCGTTTTGCAGCAGGTAAAAAGAGAGGCTGGATGGCTGGACTACTGCAGTGCTAAGGGAAGTGCCTTTCCTGGTATTTTCAAAGCTGCAGGGTCTGACTTCGGGGATGGGGGAGAGGGCAAGTGGGTCTCCCAGTTCATTCTTGAACACTCTTGGTTTTGGTAATCCTCCCCTTTGTCTGTTGGGAGGAAGTGGAGCCAGCAGTGTCTGGATGGTGGTGGGGAGGGAGAGATTGCCAGGCTTCCCTGCACTTTTCCCTCTCCTTGCGACACCCTGCTGATTTTAATCTACCTTAACTTGTGATGATAGTCTTTTGCTGCCGGATTTATTGGGAAAACAAGCCCATCTTTCTCTTCTTTTGTCCAGAACCTACAGCTGATGTAAGTGGCCTTAGCTACAAACTCCATGGGAAAGCTGTTGTTGGAGGAGACATAGGAGGCTTGGAAAAAACATGTCACAGATGTCTTCCCTTTTCTTCCCAGGAAAACTAGTTGCTGCTGTGCCTTTTGTACCTGGAAAGGTACACTAATACCTTAACTGCTGCTACTCAGTGTGGTGTGTTTCTCTTTAAGGACACTGTGCCTTTGAGAAATGGGTAATGCCACTGGGATTCCTCCTTGGGATTTCTGTGCATATGACATTGAGTCAGTTTGACTCTGTACACAGTTAAAAATTTTATTCCTTTACTCATCACCATGAAGATGGCCACAGGATTCACTTTCTGAAAAAGTATAGTATTTTCTTCTAATTGCTTTTGAACTGTTTTGGAAATGTTACATACCTTTGGTATACGGTTTGTTGTTTTTTCTTTCTAATTTAAGGATGGTGCAATGGTAGGATTGGAAAACAGCCTGTATGTATTTTGTAGGCATGATTTTCCTTGCAGGTCTCTTTTTTGAATGTTTTTAGTGCTACCTTTTTTAATAAGATGTTTTAGAATTAAAATGTTTTGTAATTTGTGGGCTGCTGTGAATTGTTTTACTGGATGGTTGAAGAACTGGCAACATTATTATATTTTCCAGGTACTGGGTTTTGCTGTCTTCTCCCTCACCCCTTTCTCAAAATATGCCCCAAGTACAAATGAAGCTGCCTTGTAGTAAAGTAGTTCACCAGTCCCCATCTACTGTGAGAGGCAGCCGTTTGCCAGGATCACAAGAAGAGAGAGGTCTTTTGTCAGCACCCAGAGATGCCAGGCAGGGGGTGAACCTGGGGACCCTTCTGCTTGCAAAGCATGGGCTCAACCACTGAAACAGGGAGAACACACACAGAGACATGTTTATTTATTTAGTTCATTTGTACCCAGCCTTTCTCCTCAATGGAGATCCAAAGCCACTTGCATGGTTCTCCTCTCCTCCATTTTATCCTCACAACAACCTTGTGAGGTAGGTGAAGCTAAGGGAGGGTGATTGGCCCAGGGTCACTCAGAGAGCTTCCATGGCACAAGTGGTTATTTGAAGCCAGGCCTCCCAGATACTAGACCAACCGTCTTAACCTCCATCACTCACTTTAAATTATTGCGTGTCAGAGCAGGGGGAACACATTGCCTGGTACCTTCAAGCAGTGACACACACATACACCACATTACTCAGCTGCCCTCCCTGTCTGGTTTAAAGGTACAGAGAAATTCTTATTTGTAGATATTTATACCTCGCTTTCTCGTTCACAATAGGGACCCAAAGCAGCTTTCGACATCTTTTTCTCCTCATCCACTTTATGTTGTGAGCAACATCAACCCTGTGACGCGGGTTAGGCTGAGAGAGAGTAACTTGTCCAGGGGTCACCCAGTGAGCTTCCATGGCACAATGGGGATTCAAACACGTCTCCCAGATCCTACTCTGACACTCTAAGCACTGCAGCATACTGGCTTGCAGTGTGCTTTTCTTTCAGAGAAGAATTGGATTTCCCTTTTTTGAACATCTTGTTAGGAAAGAGCCTACAGTATGAGCGTGAGGTTGGGAACTGCCTCTGTTCAGCTGCTGTTGGGCAGCATTGGGATCTGAGCCGGTGAAGTTTGCACCCTGGAAATGACTTCTTTTAGTTCCTCAGCTGCTTGTGCCTCTTGCGTTTTGTGCCCTGTTGGCAGTCTACCCAATGAGTTCAAGATCCTCACGTGGCCGAAGGAGACCATAACATGACTTGGCCCTTCAGGAACTGTGATCTGCCTGCTGTGAGAGCGGCCTGTGATCAACAGGTGCCCAAATAAATTACAAAGATCAAGTCCTGTGGACAGCCACAAGATGGCAGCCGTGTCTGCAGGATGGGGACCTCCTTGGACTGCTTTGTAGCGGGGAAGTGGGGGAAGTGGTCTTGTTTCTCATCTGCCTTGAAGGTCTTGGAGGAACTCTCAGCTCAGTATGTATGAGAAAATAATTATGGAGCAGTCTGCCATTTTGCAGCAGGGTAGTGCTGCTTCAGTTTAAGAGTGAGGCTGCCTTTAAATGTATCCTCAAGCCTGGCTGTCAGTCCAAATCTTTGTTTGGCTTGAGCGGGTCGCAGGCAGGAGTTATCTGGCAAGTGTGGTTATTTTTTGTAGAACTGCAGGGCTGGGTGGATGGGATGCACAGCACTGAATGCCTCCATTAAAACCCTAGTCTTAGAGGGGTAGACTAGTAAGCCATCAATCCCTATGTTGTTGTTCAGTCGCACAGTCGAGTCCGACTCTTCGCGACCCCATGGACCAGATCACGCCAGACCTTCCTGTCTTCCGCCGTCCTCTGAAGTTTGCTCAATTTCATGTTCGTTGCATCTATGACACTGTCTAACCATATAGCCTCCAGAATTCAGAATGTGCACCGTATTTCCAAAGATATTGGAGCCAGGCTTGAGTACATATTTATCCCATCCATGTTGTCCTCACAACAACCCTGTGAGTTAAGCTAGGCTGAGAGCAGTTGACAAGCCTGCAATCAGCTGCTTTGTCCTTGTAGCTCTTTTATCATTTTCGCTCCTATGCACAACACATCATTTCTTAATTGGCACAGTTGCCGGCCCTTGAAATAAATCTGGTTCCTTTAAGAACCTGGGGCCACAACAGTGTTCTTCTAAGATGTCCAGTATCTGCACATGTTTACAGCTTCCTTCTGTCAAGCAATGCTAACCAGATTTGGTATGTGGCTGCTTTGAAGCGAACATGGTTCAGATTACAAATGTCTCATGCACAAAACCAGAAGTGCCAGCAAGGACAACTCACACTGTTGAGCTCAGCTATAGACTATACCTCTGGCTACATGTTTAACACATATATATGCAGCATTTTGTTGAGCCTTTAGAAGACGGTCTAGAAAACGTTCACCCATTGTATCGACTGGTAATGAGGCAGTTAAGACGCTGAACTGCAGGCTGTGGAAGGTCGGTAGTTCAGCAGTTCAAGACCCAAGTGTGCCACATGACGGGGTGAGCTCCCGTCTCTAGTTCCAGCTCCTGCCAATCTAGCAGTTCGAAAGCAACAAATTGCAAGTAGATAAATAGGTACCACTTCAGTGGGAAGGTAACAGCGTTCCCGTGCGCCTTGGTGTTTAGTCATGCCGGCCACATGACCATGGAAATATCTTCGGACAGCGCTGGCTCTTCGGCTTTGAAACAGAGATGAGCACCGTAACCCTAGAGTCGGATTCAACTGGCTTTCGAGCAAGGGAATCTTTACTTTAATGAGGCAGAGACCAGTCCCATGAATAACTGGTGAATTAATGGCAGGAAACTCAGAATGTGCAGAACAAATAAAGTAAGCCAAACTACATACTGCAGGATTCAGGCATAAAAGAAAATGAGCGAAAAGCAGGGAACAAATGTTTTTTGGCTTGTGTATGCATGTGTGTACACAACCATATATGGCAGAATGTTTACTGTAGCCTCATTGGTTCATGTATTGAGGTTATACAGAGACATCTACCAATTAACCGATTGCATTTTTATTCTGAGTTTTCTTCAAGGGGCATAGGGTAGTATACATGCTTCTCCCCTTTTCCTTTATCCACACAACAACTGTATAATACAGGTAAGGCTGAGAGAATGTGACTGGCTTTGAATTGCCCAATGAAATTTATGGCTGGGTGGGGATTTGAACCCATGTAGCCTCAGTCCTAACTGGATATTCACCACTATACCACATTGGCTGGAGCATTCCTCAAATCAGGGCTCCACTAGGAAATGGCTCATTGCTTTAAAGGACCCAATAGTCCATGTTGTCAGAGTTGGATCAATTTTTGCTTGATTGACTGGCTCAGAAATAGCTGGTTCTGGACAAACAAGCATTTTTTTCTTGGAGCTAAATATTAGACTTGCTTTGTGTTTTCGTGGCTTCCCATATGGCTCCACCCTATTTTGTTCTGGTTCTGTTCCTTTCTTGAGGCTGCCATTGTACATTACATATGTATTTATTTATTTGATTTTTACCCCGACGAGGCAGGCTCGGCAGCTTACAAAGAAAACAATAATTTAAAATCAATATAAAATACACAATAAAGTTATTAAAACCATTAATATGATGATGGCGTCACAACTGTAATAAAGTGCACATACAGCAGTACCTCCACTGTTGACGGGCTCAGACTGGAACAAAGTTGGCACAGGGCAAAGATGATGGGGTGCAGCTCCTTACCCTGATGAAAGAGCTCCATTTTCATGGCCCTGCGGAACTGTGAGAGGTCCCGCAAGGCCCTGATCTCGTCCAGAAGCTCATTCCAGTAAGTTGGAGCTGCCACCGAAAACGCCCTGGACCTGGTCGATACCAGCCTGGCATCCTTGAGACCAGGGGGTGCCATAAGATTTTGCGACCCAGACCGCAGTGCTCTCTGGGGAACATGTGGGGGAAGGTGGTCCCTCAGATAGGCAGGTCCCTGACCATATTGCCCATCCTCAAGACTAGCCTTTCCAATGTTCTCTAATACAATCACATTGTATGGACCTCTTGGATTACAGTATTTTCTTTGAATAAGGGCTGTAATAAAAGGACACCAAAATGATATCTTCAAGGAATCCATTTTCATTTGCCCAAGTTCAATCGAGCTCCAGTTACAGTTCTTTTTTTTTTTTGGTAAACAAATTTTTATTATTTTCTTAGGAACATAACACATAAAATTAAATCATTCAGTCCATTGTTTACCCCATTCCCTTCCTCTCCTCCCTCCAATGGCTTCCCGCAATGCTTCACTCCCTTTTTACAAATTTCTTTATATCATTAACACATCATTTGTTATCATATAACCTCAAGATAACATCATTTGACTTAATATTGATCTAAACATATTAAATTTTGTTTTACATCCCAGTTCTTTTCCAGATATATTTTAAAGTCATTCCATTCTTGAAAAAACACATTGTCTTCTTGATTATTCAACTTCTTTGTAATTTTATCCATTTCTGCCATGAACAGAACTTTTTGTATCCAGTCTTCGATTTCTGGTACTTTCTCAGTCTTCCAAAATTGTGCATAAATCATCCTCGCTGTTGTAATAAGGTACCAGAATAAAGTCCTTTTAGTCGAGTTAACTTCTTCCATTTTTAGTCCCAAAAGCAGAATTTCAGGCGCTTTCTTGAAAGAGCACTTAAGTATTTTTTGCATTTCTTTGTGGACTTTTGTCCAAAAGAGTGTAGCTTTTTCACAAGTCCACCACATATGGTAAAATGAGCCCTCATGTTTTTTACATTTCCAACATTTATTTGACATATTCTGGTTCATATTTGCAATTTTCTTTGGGGTCATATACCACCTATACATCATTTTATAACAATTCTCTCTAACATTGGTACAGGGTGATATCTTAATAGCATTTTTCCACAAATATTCCCAGGTTTCTATGTCAATTTCCTTATTCATATTTATTGCCCATTTTAACATTTGCTCTTTCACAGTCTCATCTTCTGTATACCATTTTAACAACACTTTATACATTTTAGAGATATCTTTTCCCC